AGTTTCTTCCAGACTCCGTCGTGCGATGTCCCTGCAAGTGCCCTTCGTCTGTTTTCTATGTGCTATAATCATGAGTTTCTTCTAAATCAATTCAATTTCTAAAGTTTTATCCCATTTGTACTTATTCTGCGGGGAGAGTGTGAGTATGGAGGTCAGAGGACAAATTGTAAGACGATTTGGTTCTCTTCTTCTACCGTGTGGGTCCAGGGAATCCAACTCGGGGCTTCAGGCTTAGTACTAGGCACCTTACCTGGCTGAACTAACTTACCGGCCCTCAATTCAAATTTGTTTTCAAGTAAATAAACATAAAAGTACAATTTGTTATTAATACAGCTGTCATTTGACAGATGGAACTCCCAAAGATACCTACAGCATCACTAAGTCAAGTGCTGCCTAGGATGTTCTTGTCTAGGATGACCGCAAAGAGATATTACAAGCAAGATTGAGGGAGAGGTGTGGATGTAAAGGGCAGCTATTTTTGGTTTTGTGCTGAATTGGGGTGGGTGCTTTTGTGTTTCACGTTCACTGCCATACATTAGCTGGTTCAAGTCGACCAGCACAGCAGCTGGGCCTGCAAGCACTCCTTCATCCGGATCTGCTTTACCTGTTCTGATTTCTTGGCCAGGCAAATGTTTAAGTCTATGATCAGAGTCATCTTTTTCATTGAGAAGGCAAGCAGTGGGAATAGCACAGACTCTAGTCAGTCCTGACAGGCTTCTGACCATCTCCTCCATTCCCTACAGCCTGCCCTGCCAAGTCTGAGCCCCAACACCACACACACCAGCTCCTGTAACAATGCATGGTAAGATCCCAACAGGGCAGTCATTCCTTAGTTAGTGCGTAATTTCACACCTCAGGTGTTATTTGTCCTGCCTTACACGCTAAACTACAACACAATCTTAAACAAATATGGAAAAATATTAGTATCATTCAACCTGAAATTAAGTATATGGGTGTTTGTGAATTACTCTCTACATTATTTGAAGTACTTTAAAATTATTTTAAAATATTTAAACAGAATGAATAACAAATACAGTGAAATAAAGGAGTGTTATTAGGTGATGTTTTCTCCCTGTCTGAGAAGAAGAGTGCCCATCAACAGGCAAGAGGTAAAGTCCAGAACAAAGAAGGGCCCAGCACCACTGGGTGTGGTTCTGAACTGAAAACGAGAAACTGATAAGCAGGCTAAGGTATCGTCCTATAAAATGGATCGTATGCCGCAGTTGTTAAAAATAAAATAGGAAGCTGTTGACTTGTGACTATTGCAACAGGTTCCCAACCTTAGCACAACTGATGCCATGTGGAAAGCACCATTCTGACCTTAGAACCTATCAGCCAGGCCCCTTCACCTACCAAAACAGGAACAAAGACCAAATCCACCAAAGACCTAGTCCGTAGTTTCAGGACCCAGTAAAGTGTATCAACCTTGCCTTCTGGCTTCTTGTTAACTGTTCTTAGTAACCAAAGTGTGTCAGGATGTGATAGTTTGTGCATAAAGAAAAAAGAACACTGAGGCTTGGGGCGTCATGATTTGGGCAAGTACCCTGTGCAGCTGCTGGCTGGCAATATAGACTTTCTATTGGGTTTTAAGGGTGTCTGTGTGTGTTCTCTGGTGGTATTACCTCTCAACACTAGCAAGGCGTCTAAACATTGCCAAGAGACAAAACTTGGCGGTAATATACATTTCTGCAAAAGAAGGGCTATATTCATATTTACTTAATAAAAATTCTGAAGGGATATATACCAAACTGTGACCCTGGTAGGCCCTTTGAAGAACTGTTTCGTTTTTCTTTCTTTTCTCTACAACCTCTCTTTTTTTTCCCCTACTTGTGTCCCTTTCAGTTTGATTACCTACAGGTCATAAAATAGCTTCCGACTGTCGTAAGGACACAATCTAACGTTCTAAAAACCTCAAGGTCTACGAATTATGCCAATTACTACTACTACTTCCAACTGGAATCCACAGGGATAGCTATAAATGCTTCTTTAATTAATTTGTTTGGCTCTATACTGGTCTCATAGTCTTGTTGATCAGATAGAGTATTGACTGCTAAGGACTAGGGAAATACCTCCAAATCTGCAAAGCGAACTTTTGTGGACAGCCACCTCCAAAGGCAGGGTGTGGACTGAGGGTCATTTGCATAAGCTCACTCAACCGTGCTGCAGCAGAGATAGCATGCCAGGGCCAGAGTTCTTTCTACTCCAGTCACATCACCTGCTTTCCCATTTGTAATGACTTCTTTTGTGCTTCCTTGGAAGGTGACACCTGCTCTGTCAAAGAGCTGTGGGTGGCCTTGCCAAGCATGCTCCTGAGATCTAAATGCTGCGGAAGCATCAGACTAGATGCTTTCCAAACCACACTCTACTTCTGAAATATCCCAGATTCTAAGAAGCCTGCTATACTGCCTGGAGCCCCTTATATCTCTATTGCCTCCCCAAAAGGAAGGTATCTAAAGGACTTGCAATTTTATCTGTGCTATACACCTGCGTAGACCAAGGCAACCATTGTTCCTGAGAATGTAACTGAGGGAAGTATGGCTCACGTCCCCCCACTTAAAGTGGTATAAACAATTGGCCAAAAGTCCCCTGGTCATCATGACCTTCAGGAGGCCTGTAATGGCTATCCTTGGTTGTCAACTTGAATACATCTGGAATTAACTAAAACCCACTTGGCTGGTTACATTGGTGAGGGCTATTTTTTCTTAATTAAGTCATTTGAAGTGGAAAGAGCCTCTTTTAATTTAGATCTTTTGAACTGGGAAGATCCACCTTTAGTCTGGGCCACACCTTCTGTTGGCAGCCTATAGAAAGGACTCGGAAGGAGGAAGTTTTTGCTTTTCACCTGTTTGCTCTTGCTTTTGCTGGCAAGCCCATTCCTTTACTGGCTTTAGAGCCTATTTCTTTGAGCTTCTGAAGACCAGCTGAGACATCTAGCCTCAGCAACTGAACAACTACTACATTCTTGGACCTTTGTTGGCCATTGTTGGACCAACTGGATCACAGCCTGTACGCCATTCTAATAAATCACACACACAGATATATATCTATATCTATATCTATCTATCTATATATATATATGATCATAGATATATAGATATATAGATATATCACATATATATCATAGATAGAAAGATAGATTCTTTCCACTACAGAACCCAGACTAATACAAGGCTCAATCAAGTTCTAAGTTCAGAAGCAACATAAAACTTATCCCAATTCACAGAGAACCCTGGTGATGAGCCATTATGTTTCGGAGTCACAATTAGAAATCTCTTGCTAGGTACAAATAGGTTTTCTATTTCTATTTCTATAGCTGAGCCCCTAGATATGAAGAGATTCTCTTCATGGCTGAAGCCCTGTGTTGCTGCAGACTGGGCTTAGACTATGGTTCACTAAGGGTTTTATTGATGCTTATGGTATGCCCCTTACCTCTTGTTTATAACAGGACTTCAGAAGAACCAGTTATCTCAATGGGAGGAAGGGACACGGCGACAGAGACAGCCCACACCTACAAGACAACCACCCACTACCAGCAACACCCTGAAACCTGGCAAATAATGACTATATGTCAATCACGGGTTAGTGAGCTATCAAGGCTTGGAACTCTTCCTTAACAAACTACAACGAACTAGGTCCATCATTAATACATGTATGGGAGGACTGGGGTGGACTGGAGATCAGCAGAAAAACTCTGGCATAGAAAGCACAAGGTTCTGGGGTTGGATCTCCAGCTGGCAGTTGGGGAGTAAAACGTACAGGAAAGTTAACAGATCCCAGCCCAGAATGCTCTCTTTTCAGTACCACACTCAAGAAAATTTTGTTCTAAGTTGGTGGACACCTGGCTAAGCAAATGAGAACACTAAGCGTAGGAAGTGGAGGGTGGATAGAGAGGTGGTCCAAAGGGATTGCCCAGAGAGGGAGTATATACTTGGAATTCCTGGTTAGACAGACTATTGTCAAAGAAACCATTCTACAAAGATCAGACATCACAGTTACAAGTCTATTTCTCTGTATTAACTAATTTCCAGTCTGCTCAGAGAAGGCTTTCCATATATCATCGCTGGAACCATTTTCTGTGGCTGGTGGTGAAATCGACTGAATTTCTGGAGTTTCAATGGGAAAAGAGAATGAGTAAGTCAGCTTTTACCTCGCTGCCTCCATTCCTGCATCAGTATCACTGAAACACTGAAGCAACTTGTAGGCTCTGCTTAGATCCGTGTCCAGCCAGAACTTCCCTTGGAACAACACCATCACACCTCAACTACTGGCTTAGCCATCAGCCTTCCTCAACACGCCCCACTTCATGCCGGGAATTCAAGACTCCTGGGAAGGGAGCTAGCTAGCTTCACCTTCCAGCCCTGGTGCTAGGGATCAAATCAGAGTCTTGCACATGCTAGGGCTTTACCATCGACCTGCATCCCAGGGACTAAGTAGCTCATGCTGGCCTTCAATATGCCTGAAAGGAGAGGCATCCTCCTGTCTCAGTTTCCACAGTGTTGGGATGACAAGAGAGAATCTCTAAGGCCCCCTAGAATCAAGTTTTAGGTTGAGGAGTGCAATTGGGTTCTGAGAATTCTATGCAATATGTAGATGGTATTATTTCCCTATAGCACCAGACCAAAGCTGGCCTCAGCGCTGAATAACCCAGTAGAACTTTAAACCACAGAGAAATGAATCCCGTGCATAAGTCCCCTGGAGCTCAGAGAGGGCCTCCAGATCTGACCTTTTGTGGATCTGCACCGTCTGTCTTAGACTGCAAGGTGATAGAGCCATGGTTTAGGGTACCGATCCCCTTTCATTTTTGCGGCAGATCGCAGGTAATGATTTTCGTCCCTTAACTAGCTCTGGCGCTTATGTGTCGGTGCTGGGGTGACAGGCTGGGAGAGCTCAGTGGCTGGCCCGCCAGTGCGGGGCGCCCGACCCCTCCTGGCCCGCTCTCACTCGGTACCTGGGGCCCCAGCCCGGAGCGCCCGGTGGGCCGTGGGGAGCCAGGGACTCACCTGCAGCAGCACGGCCAGCAGGAAGCACAAGTACATCTGGTAGAGGCCCATCTCGCCCACCGCCTGGAACGCCTCCTCCACCTCCATGGCGGGCTGGCGGCTGAGGACCTGGCCGCCACCGCGCCTGAGGATCAGGCTCAGAGGGGGCCGAGAACCTGACGGGCGGGGAGGGAGAGAAGGAGGGAGGACCTGGCCGGGCGGGGAGGAAGAGAGGGAGGATCGGGCCAGGCAGGAGGGAGGGAGCACCGGGCCGACCGGGGCCCGGGCGGGGACCGAGGACCTGGCCGACCGGGGTGGAGGAGCCGGCGGGGTTCAGGTCCAGGCCCAAGGCCAGGCCGGGCGCTGCTGCAGAACGACCACGTCCCGTCCCGGGGCGCCCCGGAGATGCTTGGCTGGTCTCTCGGGCGCGGCCTCCCCGCTTCCTGTCAGAAGTGACAGGAATTTTTGGGGCGAGCGGTTGGCTGGCGCGCGGAAAGGAAAGAGGAAGTGGGTGCGGCGCGGGCGGCCACGGGGATTCACGGGAGGGGCCGGGAGCTCCACGCCGTGTCCCGCGGGGTTCGCCCCTTCGCACGAAGCAGAGGAAGGCCACGGACAAGGGACAGACAGGGCAGGTGGTCACGGTCGCCAAGGTCTGTCAGTGGAGTTTGGATGGAGAGGTGTGGGGACATATTACCAGTGTTTGTCCCCTTATACCCCTACTCCTAATCCTGTTTTGTTTTTAGCAGTTGCTTACTATTCAAAGCAGCTAAACAAGTCGTTCTCAACCTGTGGGTCAGGACCCTTCAAGGGCTGAAAGACCCTTCCTTATACAAGGATCACATATCAGATATTTGCATTACAGTTTATAGCAGTAGCATCGACATAATTGTATGGTTGAGGTCATCACAACACAAGGAACTGTATTAAAGGGTCGCAGCATTCGGAAGGTTGAGGACCATTGATCAAAACCATAACTCAACTTGCCTGTTGATGTTATAAAATACTGTGACAGATGCAACCAAGGGAAGAAAGTTTATTTGGCTCACATTTCCAGTTACAGTTTATTATTGTGGGGAAGTCAAGGCACCAAGAACTTCAGCAGCTAGTAATAGGAAGACAGGGTCTTCCTATTTAGCCTTTGCAGGCCTGAAACTTGATATGTAGACCAGACTGGCCTGCCTCTGCCTCCTGAGTGCTGGGATTAAAGACATATACCACTGCTGCAGGGCTTTTAGTAGGAGAATAAATCTCTATTTATTGTGAAGTATATAGTCAAACCTATTTTTGCCATCCCATTCTGTGTTTCTTTTTAACTTTCTTGACCATCGGTTGGATTATTTTATTTATTTTAAGACAAGAACTCACTTTGTAGACCAGGATGAACTTCATCTCAGAATGCACCTGCTTCTGCCTCCTGAGTGCTGGGATTATATCTACTTTTGTGATCTGTCTTCCTTTTGCTACTCTGGGAGCTATGGATCACATCACTATTAATGTTTTGGAAGTTACATCTACATTTTTAACACCTACATAACCATGCACTTTTCCACAATGTTTATATCTATACCTTCTATATAGATAGAACCTGTATATTCTCTTTGCAAAGTGACTAAAAACCTATACAAGGTTTCAGGAATCTGTGTCTGAGAAAACTCTGGAGAATATAATCATGTCAGGTTCCGGAAGTGTTTGATAAATACTGCCAGCTTGACAAGTTTTAAAATTACCTAGGAGAACCTTCTGGCTATGTCTGTGAGGTTATTTTTAGGAAGACTTAACAGAAGTGAATGTTTAGCGAATGTGGGCTCCATCTCAGGATGAAGGAAGAGTAGAGAAGACCATGTGGTTTTTTTTTTGTTTGTTTGTTTGTTTTTTATTTTCGAGATAGGGTTTCTCTGTAGCTTTTTTTGGTTCCTGTCCTGGAACGAGCTCTTGTAGACCAGGCTGGCCTCGAACTCACAGAGATCCGCCTGCCTCTGCCTCCCAAGTGCTGGGATTAAAGGCATGCGCCACCACCGCCCGGCGAGAGGACCATGTTTAGGAAATGTGGGCTCCATCTCAGGATGAAGGAAGAGCAGAAAGCATCATGTTTAGTGAATGTGGGTCCCCATCTCAGGATGAAGGACAAGCAGAGAGGACCATGTTTAGGGAATGTGGGTCCCCATCTCAGGATGAAGGAAGAGCAGAGAGGACCATGTTTAGGGAATGTGGGTCCCCATTTCAGGATGAAGGAAAACAGAGAGCATAATGTACTAGTCTTAGTTTCTCTGCTCCCAAATCTCTAACCCAATGACTCAAGGTTCGTGTGAAGGGTTTGGGCTAGGAAAAACAGGAATTTTTATTACTAATTATCCTTAACATAGAAATGATAAGGCAAAAACAACTGTTTTTTTTTTTATTGTAATGATGGTGTATTACTTAACAGGCCAAGCCCACATGCTCTTCATAACAAACTGGGAATTGATGGGTCGGCTTACAGATTTTGTGTGTGTGGAGAGAGGAGAACGATTACACTTAACAGGAAAGATGATCTGTGATTGTGTTGCCCTGTGGGATATTAATTCACTCGGTGTCTAATCTAGCAACAGCACTCTGACATTCATGCTTTGTGTGCAAGCGTTCGTTCAAAGCCTGCGGGGTCATCTTTGTCTCCCTCCAGTTCCCTCATCTGTGCTCAAGTTACGTGAAATCTTAACAAGGCTTCATTCCATTCTGGACCAAGAGACATGTTTCTCTGTGTAGCCGGGTCTGTCCTGGCACTCGCTCTGTACCAGGCTAGCCTCAAACTCAGAGATCCAGAAACAATGTGTATTTAACTTTAAACCTTTTTTTTTTTGACATCATGAAATGTTTAAGTGAGAAAAAAAATATAATTAACATTATATATGACATATAGTTAAATTATTATATTTTTATGTAGAAGGTGTACTCTTGTATCCTATACCCAAATACTGAAACATTTTAAATTGACTAAAGCCTATTCTGTGTAGTCCCTGTTTTAAATCATTCATATATATATCTATGTACACACACACACACACACACACACACACACACACACACATATATATATATGGACACACAGGCCAGAAGAAGAAAAGGTCTTCTGAAAATAGTAGCAGCAAGAAGCTGGGCACTGCCCTACCTGTTAAGCGGGTTGTGGTGTTGCTCTAAATTGGAGAGATCTGATTTTAATAATCTCAATTTGGCAGCAGTGAGCTGAAAAACACATGTAAGGGCAGTGGGAAAATGAAAGCCAGACCCGCTGGAGATCTTAACTGTGCAGAATGACAGAACGGAGAAACACAGTCAAACCTAAAGTGGTCAGCCCAAACTGATAGAGATAACATTTTCAAATTCAGTTGGGGTGAAGCCATGCATCACCTCCTCACTGGGCCCCGAAAGCCAGACTCAAAGATTGGGGTGTTGTCAACTGAGGGAGGAACCCTAACTGTGGAGTAGGTTTCTGGCAGAAGGTGGGACCAAAGGCCATTGCTCTGTTAAATGAATGTTGTCCCTTTAAGATGCTGCCCTCCCCCCCCCTTAACCCAGCCAGGCCCCTGCTGTGTTTCCATGCCCTAATTTACAGTTAGCAGCAGAGCCTTTGAGCATGCGCTCAGGAAGGAGCCAGACTAATTAAAGCTCTCCTGAGGATCAAGGTATTGCATCTGTGGCTCCCAGCAATGAGTTCCATTTTCCCCCTCTGACCTTCAGTCCCCCCACCTCATTTTGATTTTCCTTAAGTCTTTCTTTTTCTACCATCATTTTATAATACCTGTATCTTCTGTTTACAAATCAGGAACGATACACATTGATATTTTTAATAATTAAAAAATTTGAACAATGTTTGGAATATAGTGTCTATTAAATACCCTTTGGTTCATGAGAGGAAAGAAAGAGATCAGCCTTGAAGCAGATGTAATCTATCATTGGCTTCTTCAGTTGTGAACCTGTGCTGCTAAACACTGGCCTGCCTTTTGTCTCAATGGTAGTTTGGTGTCCCAGATGACTACTGAAGTTTGATCTATGAGATAACAGATTTAGTGTATGGTGAGTATTCTAAGCAAGCGACATATACCCAGGGGTACAACTGTCTCTCTTTCATCTGAAGAACATTTTCCTCTGGGGATGGGGGGACCAAACCTTCATTCACACTAAGATAACACTATATTGTGAGCAGTGTACAATTACAACTTACCTTGATAAAGACAGCGAGTCTACACATATCTGTGTCAGTAGTAAATTGACCCAAAAAATCCATATACCATAAATGATAGGAGGGAACAGGCCACAAGGGAGACAATAGTATTCCCAGATAGATGTCTAGGATGTCAACGAGGAAAAGGCAGGAAAACAAGGGAGAAAGAAGAAAACAGGATTTCCAGTGGGATGGATGCCTCTCTTGTCTAGGCTCTTGAAGCAGCAACTTTCATTCACAAACCACTGTCAAATGGGTGAAAAACCTTAAAACGGACCCCCCCCCAATTAATATGGAGAAACTGGCCATTTCTGGGTCTCTAACCTTAGCAGTAAAATCAGAATATAAACAGAGCTATGCTGAGATCCAGGAGGTTACAGGAGAGAGATAAAATATGAGAAAATTAGTCATTAATTATGCTTGAATTTAGATAGTAGAGTGTTTTGCTTGCTAAGAGTCTAATTTTACATGTTGTCCAAGAGGCACGGAGCCTAGATAATAGGGTATTCATTTAATTCACCTGATTCATCCCTGAGTGCCCATCTTTAATGAAAACGTCAGTGTTGCTGCTGTTTCTATTATTGCTGCTGCTGCTGTTTCTTGCATCGAAGAGTTCTATAACTAGGGGAAAGAGAATGAAATGATGAATTTGTTATACTCATGGGCTCCATGGATTGAGGTTCTGATTCAATCGGATGGATGAAAATTTGCCCTGTATAGAAGTAAATGCTTCACAGTTTCCCAGTATCAAATGTGGAGACTTACTGGAATTACCCCAAGCCAGCACAGCCGGTGGAGTATTGCACAAGGGTGAAAATAACCCATGTATCACTGAGCTGACCTCCATCGGTTTATAAATCGAGAACAGCAATGTTATTGCTTTTGGGAAACAGAAATTTCTGTAGGTTTCAGAGGATGGAGTTTAATATGCTTGGTCTACTCAGGCTCAGAAATAAACTGTCATGATTCTGAAAATCTCCCACGTTTTCCCATCATTGCAGCATTGCTGATCGCCCACTCAGTAAAAGTTAGTCTGCTCTGGCAGTAACAAAAGCATTCAACCAGGTAAAGTCCTTATCTTGTTGGGCTCTGATGTGAGTTTCCCCTCTGTATGCTGTGAATATGTCTTATTACCACTGGTTAATAAAGAAGCTATTTCGGCCAATGGCTTAGCAGAGTAAAGCCAGGTGGGAAATCTAAACAGAGATATATATATGTATAGAGAGAGAGAGAGAG